ACACACACACACGCACTCACACACGCACTCACACACACACACACACACACACACGCACACACACACACTCACATATACACACACACGCGTCGCCGCACCAGCTGTTACCAGCAGCTAAATTTATACTCTTTTAATTATCACTCTGTCTGTCTGAGAGCCGCGGGTCCATATGGATCTCGCTCACTCAAACACTCGCCCTACTTCTCTACCCGTCTCTCCCCACGCTCATCTCTCCCTCATTCTCTCACACTCCCTCATTTTTCATTTCTGCTTATTATCCTGTCTTTGTTGTTCTTTTGTGGATTTTCAGAGGATTGAGTGAGATCAGACGCCAGCCACGCATGTGTTTGGACACAAAGCATCACCCATTTCACCATCGTTCAGGGCGATGTCACACTGAGATGACATCTGATTGATTTCTGTGTTGACAGCAAAACATAACGCTGATCCTGTGGCCACAGGAGTGTGTCTGTGTGTGTGTGTGTGTGTGTGTGTGAGTGAGTGTGTGTGTATGTGTGTGTCTGTGTGTGTGTGCGTGCGTGCGTGCGTGCGTGTGTGAGAGTGCGTGTGTGCGAGTTTGTGAGTGTGTGTGTGTGTGAGTGTGTGTGTGTATGTGTGTGAGCGTGTGTGTGTGTGTGTGTGTGTGTGTGTGTGTGTGTGTGTGTGTGTGTGTGTGTGCGTGCGTGCGTGTGTGTGTGTGTGTGTGTGCATGTGCAGAGATTGGGGTCAGTAAGACTTTTTAAGGTTTTGAAAGTCTCTTCTGCTCACCAGGGCTGCATTTATTTGATCATAAATACAGCAAAACAGTGAAATATTATTATAATGTAAAATAATTGTTTTTTATGTGAATCTCTGTTAAACTGTAATGTATTTCTGTGATGCGCAGCTGTATTTTCAGCATCATTACTCCAGTCTTCAGTGTCACATGATCTTCAGAAATCAGTATAATATGCTGATCTGCTGCTCGAGAAACATTTCTGATTATTATCAATGTTGAACACAGTCGTGCTGCACAATATTTTTGTGGAAACCGTGATGCATTTTATTTTTCAGGATTCACAGATGAACAGAAAGTTCAGAAGAACAGCATTTATTTGAAATAGAAATCTTTTGTAACATTATAAATATCTTTACTGTCACTTTTTGATCAATTTAATGCCGCCTTGATGAATAAAAGTATTAATTTCTTTCCCAAAAAATAAAAAAAAACTTTTGAATGGCAGATATTAATTGTTATTCACCTCAAAAATCGAATAGACATCCAGTAACGAGTAATTCTTGATAATCTATGGAATTAAATTATTTTTTTAAATGAAAACAACTCATTGTCATTCAGTGTTTTATTAGAAACTTGGACACAAAGCAAAAGATGAGATGAATCACAACAAATTAATCCCGAGTCTGACATCAGAGTAACATTATGCTAAAACAACACTGAATATAATAACACATTATAAATCTGAGTGAGTGTGACGTGTATCAGTGGTGATGTTGCCTGGCGACTGTAAACAATCAACGGTAACGGTGTCTGCGGGACACGAGCAACTCGTCAAAACTAAACGAGCCTCATTATGATGAATGAAGCTGTAAGAATGAAGCAGTGTCTGTTTACAGAGAGATTACAGTTTTACTGCTGAAATACAGCCGAATAAACACTACAGTCCAGTGTGTGTGTGTGTGTGTGCGTGTGTGCGTGTGTGAGAGAGCGTGTGTGTGTGTGTGTGTGTGTGTGAGTGTGTGTGTGTGTGTGTGTGAGTGTGTGTGTGTGTGTGTGTGAGTGTGTGTGTGTGTGTGTGTGAGTGTGTGTGTGTGTGTGTGTGCGCGTCTGTGTGTTTGTGTCTGAGTGAGTGTGTGTGTGCGTGTGTGAGTACCAGACATGTGTGTGTGTGTTTGTTTGTGAGTGTGTGTGTGTTAGTGTGTGTGTGTGTG